GAACCTGCAGTTGGAAATTGTAGAGCTAATGTTGATTTAGCGAAAAAAAAACTCAGAGTACATGTAAGACGTATTACTAAAGGATTTCGTGTACGGTCAAGAGTTTACTTCAGAAAAGTCTTCTTACGAGTATGTCAAAAGAAAACGAGGTCGGATAAATTGTCTGTCTGAAGTAGTACAGAAAAGGATATAGGATTTTTGGTGTTCCCCTGAAAATTCTCGACAGACGGGCAATAAAACAGATGTTAAACGGGTATTGCTGTGTGTTTGTTTATTCTACATTGGCTAGAGATAGAGGGGGAAGGTTGAGATCTCACAAAATATGTTTAACCCCGCCGCATTTTTGCGCCTGTCCCAAGTCAGGAGCCTCTGGCCTTTCTTGAGTCTTGTATGTTTTTTAAATTTTAGTTCATTTATATGTTTTGGAGTTTATTGTGACGTCCATTTTCATTGAACTATTATACATTTTTGTTTAGGGGCAAGCCTCCGCGGGTGCGGGATATTCTCGCTGTGTTGAAGACCTATTGGTAGCCTTCGGCTGTTTTCTGCTCTTTGGCCGGGTTGTTGTTTCTTTGACACGTTCCCCATTTCCATACTCAATTTTACGTATTGGAGTAAAGACATACTGCAGTCATGCAGTTCAAATTTTAGAGAAAACATAAATGAAGTATTTTTTTTATCTTTTCAACAGACTCACCCTGAAATCAAAATTAATTTCACAAAGAACATTTGAGAAATGCAATCCGTACTTCATAAGAGCCTCCACACCCAAAGATAGAACAATATGCTGCTGTAGGTATCAACTAGAAAACAAATATCTATTTCAATCTTTCACTTCACATCGGAAGCAACTAATTAATAAAAGATAATATTATTAATGAAAAACGATTCGAGTTGTACGGAACATTAGCTGAATTATGTGCCGCAACCTTATGCCCGATTATAGGCGGAACTGAACATCTAAAAGAGTGCTTAGAAAGAAACTGTTCAGCTTGCGGTGTAAGCTTACTAAAATTCAGTGAATCAGAATTGTGCATCTCTGATTATTGTACAAATTTACAATGGAAGAAGTTTGAATATATCGACATAAAATAAAAAAACTGGTATTAAAAAAAACAACTAACATTGGTGGATAAATCTACAAAGCTAGGCCAAATGGTGAAACACTTGAAACCCATATTAGTAGAGACATTTCCTGGTCACAGTTTTAGGTCAAAATGGCAAACAGATCAATTGAATAAACTTGTTGAAAACTTGACTGAAAATGAATGCATTACAGTGCATGATTTTTCTGAACCTTGGATTATGCAGTATTTTGGAGAAAAACATCAGTTATTTAACTTTAATACATGCAAATTTAAGTAAATATTACTCGGAAGAAAATCACATGACGCTAAATCGCATCTTTACTTATCACTAAAATTGTATTTTAAAGAACAGAAAATCATTTCTTCAAGAAATAAATTATCAGTCAAATAAAAAATACAATTAAATAAGATACCATCAACGACATAAACAGGCAAATGACAAAACAAAAACAACAGCAAAACAGCCTACTAAAACCATCCCCTTCCCCAAAAAATCAAAATTGGTCATTAAATAATTTCATCATAGTTTTGACGGACATTAAAATCTTTCAACCATTGAAAACACGCAAAAGTGGCTTTGTTAAAGGTTGAACTCAACATTTTGCTTCCCTACATCCATATTTAAATTTAAAAAATGTCAACTGGTTAACATTATTTTAAAATAAATCGTGTATGAATGCATAAGCATGGGCTATAATATGGCGTATATCCCATATTTCCTTTCTTTCACAGAACACCATACGTATTCCTTACATCTCCTTTTATCTACAGATCCACTTGGCATATACCCATATCTCCTTTTATTAACAGAAAACAATGTGTTTAATTTAAAAGGATAAACTGGACGGCAATATTACATGATTTTGACGTTAAAATACGACGTTACCAAAAGTGACACCAATATCGAGAGTAACGTTGAAGCAATCGGAGATTAGTCGGAGATCGGCGGAATATAACGACTTACATTATTCGGGTTATCATAATTACTGATTTCTTATCACCTATCAGTGTCACCAAATGGATATACAAAGTGCTGAGTGTATGATATGAAACGAATGAAATAGTTTAAAATCTATACATGTATAGTATATCAATCTCTGAAGGTCGAAGTACCAATTGCAATTCATCCCCGTGTCCCCTCCTAAACAAAACAAAATGCATTCGGAATAAAAGGAAGAAAAAAGAAAAAAAATATATAACAATACGTTATAGAATCACTACATATGCATAATTTGCAACTGCAGTCGTCATAGTTATACTTTCATATCCACAATTTTCAAATTGTGACAATTTTTACATGTTTTTAAACTCCGTTTTATAAGAAAACCAACGGCTGTTTCCCACTATTTACTTTGCGAATACACAAATAATGTTAAAATATTTTAGCCGGATCAATCACTACAAACCATTGAAAGTCTGAAATGGCCTATATTTGTATTCGACTGTACTGATTTTTACTCGACCAGTCTGAATTGGTCTGAAATTTACTTGATTTAACTCGACTGTAGTCTGAACCATACTTAACAGTCTGAACTTGTACTCGGCCACACTCGACCAGTACTTAACCATTTTATTTTCGTCTGAGCCATGCTCAAACTAGTCTGAACAATGCTCGACCTAGTCTGAACCATACTCGACCTAGTCTGAACCATACTTGACCAAGTCTTAACCAACCTAGACATATTTTTTGTATCTATCTTTTGCATTTCATCAATTTAGGAACTGTTTTTAACAGCTATTTCCCCTGGCTAGAAATTTGAACAACAATTTGAAATTTAAAATGTATTCAATATGGCATTGAAACCAAAATTTCACAAAAAACATAATATAAATTCAACACCATATTCATCAACACTTACACACATATATATATCACCTTTAAAATAAAAATAAAACAAGCTGATCCAATAATCTCAAAACTGAATTGTGTCTAATATTTTCAATGTTATTCAAAATTTTTATGAATGTTTCAGATATATTTTATGGTTACTGGACAATTTTCACCATTTACTTAAGCCTTGTATAGATTTATGGTGTCAGTTGAGTTTAGTTAATAATGCAGTGAACATTTTTTTTATTAAAATATATTTAGAATAGTATATAAAGCAACTTAATAAATTTAAAAGATTACACCTTTGTCTTGTAAAACCAAGAATTTAATATAATCATAATAGAACTTCCGTAGCAATCCTTGATAACCATTTAAAAAAGGAAATGTGTTCCAAAGCTGCAGAAAAAATTTATTTCAATTAAATTTAAATAACTTTTGTCAAAATTAAAGACATGGCATACAAGAAACACTTTAATAAGGTTTAATTACCTCAGTACATGTGTGTTTTACAGGTAAAAAGAAAGCCCTATTTTTCATAAACTCGTGTATTACTTATCTAATGAATTCAAAAGGCCTTGCGATTTAAGTTTTACAGGATGTTGCAATTTTTACTGAATGTTAATTAGAAATTAATTCTCTCTGACCAGGTGTGATCATTTTAATGAGTTTGCCCCAAGCAGGAGGTATTACTTTATACTTTACCACTATTCAGAATTTTTTTTAAATTTATTTCTTTAACTTTTTTTATCCCTTTTTGATATATATTATATATAATATATCCCAAATTATAATAAGAATAGATATATTTCTAATATAAGGTTAAACAATTTCGGTGATATTTTGGCTGTTGTCAACTCATTAAAAAGATAATTATATAACTATTGTATGTAACCATAAAACCTATGTAGTTTTTCTTTAGGAATTTAGGAAAATTAAGTTTTAAAAAAAAAACACATGCCAACCAAGAAGCACCTTAATAAGGTTTTATTACCCTCAGTAAAGGTGTGGTTTTTAGGTAAAAGAATCTTTTTTTTAACAAAACTCTAAAACTTAAAATTAATATAATTAAATTATTATATAAGATAATTTGATTTAACTATCTCTATTTGATAAATCTGAGAATCATGTACGGATGTAAAAATATGTTTTTATATATATCTTTATTTTATTGTGGCTGTTATCATGTCAGAAAAAAAAGAAATTAATTTTAACAGCTAAAATTAAAAAAAAAAGTAGAGGTTATTTGGTCAAGTATGGTTCAGACTGGTCGAGTGTTGTTCAGACCTTTGGTCGAGTATGGTTTAGACTGAAAAAATAGGTCGAGTACAGGTCGAGAATGGGTTAAGACTGTTTCAGACTGGTCGAGTAATAGTTCAGTCTATTTTCAATGGCAAAGATAAGGGTCAAGTACAAATCAGTACGGTCGAGTATGGTTAAGACTGGGGTCGAGTAATGTCGAGTAAAATTCAGACCAATTCAGACTGGTCGAGTAAAAATCAGTACAGTCGAGTACAGATATAGGCCATTTCAGACTTTTACTGGTTTGTAGTGAATGTCCATAACTGGACACTTCATTGACGAGTTTATCCCAAAACACCTGTGTATAAATGGACTGGTCCATGATAAGCGAATCGGTTAAACCCTGCCCAGTCAAGTGAAATAAATTAAGTAAACTGTCCTTCCACGGCTGTCAGTCGGTATATCGAGAAAAATAATCGTGAACGAATTGTGAATGCAATAAATTTAATTTAACATAAAAATCTCTTTAAAAAGTCCGTTGTATTATTTAAACGCGGAAATATCAGAAAAAAGAAACATGTCTGTCAAAATGACTAACATTCCTCAATAATAGACGTATTTACACTTGTATGCAAATTTGTCCGCCATTACGTAAAATCACACAGGTTCCCGTAAACTTTGACATCATAATTCAATACATTTGACGTCACAATTAAAAAGTGATTGTTGCCTCAAAAGGTGATTCGGAGTAGATCTAAGGTCATTCGGAGGCAAAATATAGCTAAATACCAAAAGTGTAAATAAGTTCATACTGTACACTAAGGTAAAGAATAAAAGGCAAATTTTACTGAGTTTTTATTCTTGAAGATGCATATCAATAATTTCCGTTGAAAGAATTCCACTTAAAGATAAAAAAAATTGATCTGTTAAAAGCATTAACTTACATTCCTGTCAAAATTGGTAGCAACCTTATTGTCAAGAGAAAGAACACTAGTTACATGCAAACGTGTTTGAGTCCACTGCTTTGTCCTTTTTATGTATAAAACAAAAACAAATGATATAACATTTCGCTTTAGATTCCATTATTTTTGTATTCTAAAGTTAAATGTTGATATAATAACATTAAAAATTTAGAAATCCAATTATATAGGTCAGTTGAAATATCTTTGTTATGAGTAATTAAAACAGTTTGCATAAGAAAATAACATTGTGATGATATCATTTTTAAAATATAATGTGCACTTCGTTTTCGTAAATTCATTTGTATTTCTTTGACACACCATGAAAGTAAAATTCAAACACACTAATTATCTTATTTGTGAAAATGTATTATAAAAATAGAAGTCAAACACATCGTTCTTGAAGTCCCTTAAATTTTTTTCAAACACTCTTTGCGACAGACTTTACGTTTGTATCCTGAAAATGTATAACTTCGGGGAAAATTTTATTTTTTGTATGTTATCTGATGTTTTTAGATTTCGACTTTCTAAAACTTTCTAGTCTGCCTTTAACAAATATTTAGGTAGAATTTTTTGTGCGAGGGACAATTTTAGCAAGTAGAAATTTGACTGTTTTTATTGAAACATATAAATAGAATCAGACGTCCTTTTACTCAATTTGCAGTCATTTATACTGAACTGCTGCCTATTTAACGAAAACTAATTAAAGTACGAAAACTTGCTTTGAATAACAATTCACTTTAGTTGCTCAAAAGATTTGGATAAAAATGCACAAGGCGCACATTAACAATACAAAACTAAGACCGTGTGAACATCCAGAACTCGTATCCTTGATGGGAACAGTTGCAAATATTCTTGCAGGACCTCCGCTTCCATCGTATATCTTGGTCACGGCTACAAAAATAATACTCCCTGCTTCTGGAATAGCATCCAGATTTGCAACATTTTCTGCACCGGGAATATTGGCTTGACCTAAGAGAATATGAACTGGAAATGTTTCAGATTGTCCAAGGTCATTTGACGGTGTGTCTACACCAACGACGTTTACTGAACGTTCACTAATAAGCCATTCGATGGTTTTTTCATGCCAGGAGGGGAAAAGAAATGTACTTGAATCGGTGGGACTGTCTGTATTGAAGACAAGGGATGCGTTCGGATAGCGCTCGTGCCAACCTGAATTCATAATGACAATCGCTTTTTCTGGAATCTGCTTGTACATGCTTTCCCATTGTTTAAGATCAGCAATAGATACCTGATAATCGGCTTTCTCCGCAGCTTTATTCTTAACATTAATAATTACTCCCGGACCGACAAGATTTTCTATCGGAATGTTGTGTGTTCGTAATCTGTCTTTGTAAAAATGTGCAGGTGAATCCAAATGTGTTCCACCATGTTCTGCGGTACCAATGTAGTTACTTTCATACCTAAAAATAGTATTAAGAAAAACTGATTCTATATATTTATCGAAATTGTTTACTAAAAAAAAACATTCGAATGTCCCTAAATTGTGTAGCAATTTCTTCCATGCCCGACCAGTATTAAAAGTTACCTAATGCCTCACTGTTAACCCCGTCCCCCTTGAAATAAAAGTGTTGTTTTTGGGAGTATATCAATTCTACACTCTCCCGGATAAGAGACGAGCACTTAACTTCACTCTGGTCTAGAAACTTGTTGTATGTAACAAAAGACAACAGAAATAATAATGCATTTCAAAGATCACCAAAAGTATTGGACAAGACAGCGAACTGCACCATCCATCAAAATCAGAGACCGATTCAGCAAGTTTCAAAGAGTGATTCTCAGCGTTTTAGATACAAAGACCGGGAGCAGTAGACACGACGGTCACTCTGTGTTTGCTATTATCCAGCAGGGATGATTCTGCCCCTTTACCTCTAACGTCGACGTCATCATACATATTGTTCTATTTCCACCAAGAATTCGGCCTTAAAAAGACAATAGATTCAAAAGCCATCTTGAGCTTTATCATAATCGGCCTATTGAAATGCCATTATTCTATATTTATCGGATTTCTGCGTCGTAAATATATCGTAAAATATCAGTCGCGAGGCACAATGTTAGGCGAGTGAGCACAGAGAACGATGTAAAAAGTTTCTCATTACGCATCAATGCGTGTATATAAACCCCGATAATCTACACACATAGATTATACATGGAAAAACATATGGCACTGACAGGGAATATGAGCCCATATCCTCTGTGAAGTCTGAATAACAATTATATTATACTGAAGTGTCCTGATTTCAACACTAATTACCATTTTTGTCCCCCGCGTAACGCGTTGTAGGGACATGGAAATACCGGGCGTCCGTCCGTCCGTCAGTCCGTGTGTCCGTCCGGTCTTGTTAGCGCTCTCGCGGGTACAATTCTTGTCAGAATTTTATAAAACTTATACTATAGGTTAATATCAGCAATATCTCGGACAAGTTCTATAATGGTGGCCGATCGACTTTTTTAAAAGAGTTATGCCCCTATAGGTTAATGTCAGTAATATCTCGGACAAGTTCTATAATGGTGGACGATCAACTTTTTTGCCCTTTTGAAATATTGAATTTATGGAAAATGGCCTCGTTAGCGCTCTCACGGGTACAATTCATGCCAGATTTTTATAAAACTTATACTATAGGTTAATATCAGCAATATCTCGGACAAGTTCTATAAAGGTTGCCGATCAACTTTTTTTAAAAGAGTTATGCCCCTTGGAAATATTGAATTTATGGAAAATGGCCTCGTCAGCGCTCTCACAGGTACAATTCTTGCCAGATTTTTATAAAACTAATACTTTAGGTTAATATCAGCAATATCTCGGACAAGTATTAAAATGGTAGACGATCGACTTTTCTTAAAAGAGTTTACCCCTTGGAAATATTAAAGGAGTAGGTCGGGTAAGGGCCGATTTTGGCCTCAAAATTCAGGTTCATCTGATGAAAGATTTTGGACACTTTTTAAACACTTAAGTGGCTACTGCAGTCGATTCAATTAGTTTATGTGAAAGATTTGAACTGATTTAGTCATTAAAGACGCTCAAATTCAAGCTTAAGTATGAAAAATCTATCAAATATGTCATAATATGTCACTTTTCAGATGATTTTTGTCAAAAATGAAAGTGGCCGCATCCGTTTTCATTCTCAACCTTTATTTATGTTATGTATTATCATCAAATACAACTTACATTTAAATATTAAGAATGAACACAAATGCGGCCACTTCCATTTCAGACGGAAACCGTCTAAAAATTATCCAAAATGCCAACATTTCGAAGATTTCAGTAATTTAGCATGACTTAATGATGCTAGTACTCGATACATGTGCATTGTATTGTCATAAACAGCCCATATTCAAGTAGCAGAAGTATTCTTCTTTCCAATAAATAGCTAAAAATTTACATTTTAACAATTTTGTAAAACTGCTATATTTTGAGGCCAAAAAGGGGTCTTACTGGGCTCCTCGTTTATGGAAAATGGCCTCGTTAGCGCTCTCGAGGGTACAATTCATGCCAGATTTTTATACAACTTATACTATAGGTTAATATCAGCAATATCTCGGACAAGTTCTATAATGGTGGACGATCGACTTTTTTAAAAAGAGTTATGCCCCTTGGAAATATTAAAATTTATGAAAAGTGGCCTCGTAAGCGCTCTCACGGGTACAATTCTTGCCAGATTTTTATAAAACTTATACTATAGGTCAATATCAGCAATATCTCGGACAAGTTTTATAATGGTGGCCGATCGACTTTTTTTAGTGAGTTATGCCCCTTGGAAATATTAAATTTATGGAAAATGGCGTCGTTAGCGCTCTCACGGGTACAATTCTTGTCAGAATTTTATAAAACTAATACTTTAGGTTAATATCAGCAATATCTCGGACAAGTATTAAAATGGTAGACGATCGAATTTTTTTAAAAGAGTTATGCCCCTTGGAAATATTAAATTTATGGAAAATGGTCTCGTAAGCGCTCTCACAGGTACAATTATTGCCAGATTTTTATAAAACTTATACTATAGGTTAATATCAGCAATATCTCGGACAAGATCTATAATGGTGGCCGATCCACTTTTTTAAAAAGAGTTATGCCCCTTGGAAATATTAAATTTATGGAAAATGGCCTCGTTAGTGCTCACGGGTACAATTAATGCCAGATTTTTATACAACTTATACTATAGGCTAATATCACGATATCTCGGACAAGTTCTATAATGGTGGACGATCGACTTTTTTTAAAAGAGTTATGCCCCTTGGAAATATTAAATTTATGAAAAATGGACTCGTTAGCGCTCTCATGGGTACAATTCTTGCCAGATTTTTATAAAACTTATACTATAGGTTAATATCAGCAATATCTCGGACAAGTTTTATAATGGTGGCCGATCGACTTTTTTTAATGATTATGCTCCTTAGAAATATCAAATTTATGAAAAATGGCCTCGTAAGCGCTCTCGCGGGTACAATTCTTGTCAGAATTTTATGAAACTTATACTTTAGGTTAATATCAGCAATATCTCGGACAAGTTTTAAAATGGTGGACGATCGAATGTTTTTTTTAAAGAGTTATGCCCCTTAGAAATATTAAATTTATGGAAAATGGCCTCGTTAGCGCTCTCATGGGTACAATTCTTGCCAGATTTTGATAAAACTTATACTTTAGGTTAATATCAGCAATATCTCAAACAAGTTCTATAATGGTGGACGATCGACATTTTCAAAAAGAGTTATGCCCCTTGGAAATATTAAATTGATGGAAAATGGCCTCGTTAAGGCTCTCACGGGTACAATTCTTGCTAGATTTTTATAAAACTTATATTATAGGTTAATATCAGCAATATCTCGGACAAGTTATATAATGGTGTACGATCGACTTTTTTTAAAAGAGTTATGCCCCTATGAAATATAAAATATGTGCATCACGGGGGACATTGGAACTCTGTTCTTTTATTATCTTTGTTTTCCTTCACATGGAACATACCGGTAGGCTCATATCCCCTGTTTAGGTAACCAATCAAACTGCAGGATTAACCGGGATATTTCACTCCAGTATAATATAAAATTACATAATGTGGTATGGTTATGAGAACTATCCATCAAAATCCAAAGGACATGACACCGCATCGATGGTTCGTGGTAGCGTGTTCGCCTCTGATTCAGAGAGGTTGTTGGTTTTATCCCCGATCGGTTCAACACAAAGACGAAAAAATATGTATTTGCTGTTTTAAGCCGGGGTCACACATTCACGATTTTTACTGCCGGCCTTGATAGGAACATTCCCGATTAAAATTTGTCAAAAGTCTGATCAAGATCCTGTGAATCATGGCTGGAAATTCAAATTTAATCAAAGTTTGTAAAAACATTTATTTAATCACGACAAAAATCAGAAATTGTTCAGGAAGCGTCTAAATTCAGTCGTTTCTATGGCACGCCTGAACCACTTTTATAGATAATCCTAGATTATCTCAGATAAACTAGGATCATCTCAGATAAACTTGGATTATCTCACTATTTTACATTAAGCTCAGATAAACCGGGATTATCTCGATTTTTTTCAGATAATCCCGGTTTATCTCAGAATTTTAAGATAAACCGGGATTTTCTCAGCTTAATGCATATTTGAGATAATTCATTATATTCCTCACAAAATTAGATAAATAATTAACTGGAGAAAATCCTTGATTATCTGAAAATTCTGAGATAATCCGGTATTATCTTAGAATTTTGAGAAAATCGATTAACTGAAAGAAAAAAAAGTAGCCAAAAGAAAGCCACGACACATTGGAGGAAAATTTCATGGTCATAAGGGATAAGATATAGATACAATGGTGCATCTATACAGATAGAGAAGAATGAAAGATTACGCTCTTACGGGAAACGTTTTAGAAGTTTTAAATTTCCAAATTTGATAAAAATAACAATTGATTTATTCAGGATGTACATGTATGACAAGTGTATCGATAATAATGAAGTTCAGAGGGATCTAGAATTTAGAAGTTTGTCTTGAGAGGTTTTTTTAAGAGAATTTGAATGTTATATCCGTATTTGTCTTTAAGAAGATAGTGAAATATGTTACATAAATCTGGCATCCGCACAATTAACTAGGACAAATAACTAAAATGTTGAAATAAGTTAAGCAAAGTTGAAATACACCATTTCGAAATTCTAATGAGTTTTCTTTTAAGAAAGTTATAATCTTTAAAAAAAAATATCACGCGCCGTTTTTCTTTCCTTAATTTTCCCTATTAAAAGAGTAAAATAGGGTGCAGGAATTTATCATCCATTTATTGCAAAGTGTTACATTTTAGTACTTACTTGGTAAGTTGTATAAAGTGTTTGTTGTCAATTAGATAATCTAATCATGATAATGACAAATGCCCAATACCTGAAATATTTATTACCTTACAACTAACAAATGCTG